TTCTCTACGTTTAATATTAAATCTGAATCCATAGTGGTCCCACGAGTAGCTAGGGAACTACACGGTCCGCCCACGCAGAGCCCCGCATGCGTGGGTAAGGCTGGATACTCTGGGGTTTTGCCCGGTTCCCCAGAGGCATCGTTCGCGACACTGCTCCCCCAGTGACATGCAACCATCGCCACGATGGCTTACAACTTGGCTTGGGGAGCTGGTCCGCGGCAACGGTCTTTCCTTACCCTCCACAGGGTTTTACTTCCGTGGGGCCAGGTTATAACCGCCACTACCCAGCAGCACTGAGTCCCCTCAGAGAACTCACACCTACTGGGCGTCCTCCTATCCGCCACCTTGGAGACGCGCCCGGTGGGTAGCTCAACCCCCGGGTAAAGACGTGTTACGTCTCCAAAAAATTGCATAGTTTGACGTACTCCACGGGATGGAATAAATTTTTTTTTGCAAGCGTTACCACATGACCATCGTAAAATTTGGACTTTTCCTTGCAAATTAAAAAAAAAAGAGGTTTGTATTTTTTTTCGTGGAGTTACAGCGTATCAAAGTTACCTATGCATTTTTGTGATGAAAAGTGGATATATTACGATAATTCCAAGCGAAAAAAATCATGGGTAGACCCCGGCCAACCATCCACATCAACACCAAAGCGGAATATCCACAATCAAAAGGTAATGCTCTGTATATGGTGGGATATGCAGGGTGTGCTATATTATGAGCTTCTGCAACCACGTGAAACGGTTGATGGTGATCGCTATAGTCGACAACTATTGAGATTAAACGAAGAAATCCGTCGAAAACGTCCATATACTGACAAAGGATTGCGTCCGGTGAAATTGCTTCATGACAACGCTAAGCTTCATGTCGCTAAAACGATCAAAGAAACATTATTGACGCTTGGTTGGGATGTTCTACCACACCCGGCCCTATTCGCCAGATATAGCACCAAGTGATTGTCACTTGTTCCGGTCGATGCAAAACGCATTGTCTGAGGTACGCTTCTGGAATATTGAAGAAGTGCGAAAATGGATCGACGACTTTATTAAATCAAAAGACAAAACTTTCTTCACTGCCGGAATTCGTAAGCTGCCCGAAAGATGGCGCAAGGTCATAGATAATAACGGAGAATATTTTGATACTTAAATGTATTATTATATTTCTGCAAAAAAATCTTGAATTTTCAAAAAAACGCTTTAAAACTTATTTGTACCCCTAATACAATTTTTGACGGAATTACGATTATTTGATGTGAAATTTTGATATAAATTTACTGTTGCGATAATTTTGTTGTCCAGTGTATTTTGTATTCAACATTTTTTCAATATTTCTTATGGTTTTAAAGATATTAGCAAAAATATGAAAAATTGGATTTTTTTTTAAGGGAGTTTCCACTCCTACAATTGTTTTTTAACCAAAACAAAAAATAGCTTGTTGATTCGGTTTATATGTATTATTATATATTTCTGCAAAGTTTCAGGTTCTTTAGAATTTCACAATTGCCGAATCTTCCTTGTTCATTTTTATCCATTTTTATAATCACTAGTCCATTTTTATAATCACTAGCACAATTCATCGACTTTTATTGCTTGAATCTCGATACTGGTACGTTTTGTTATGTCTTTAACATGATTTCTCGGAGATTAAGTGTAAAGAATCTAGTAAAATTTCTAATAAATGCGCAAACAATCATAAGGATGTTATTGTCATCGTAAGCATATGCGCGATGCAAAGCGAGATCATTCATTACATACTGTCGGTGTAACCTCACCGTATAGATCAGCGCTCGGAATTAGTTGCACATTTCGAGCCGATTCAGGAGACGACGCCTCCTGTTCCCCCACTACCGCCCGGCCGCTAGTGGCCGAGCCGCCGATAGCTCTAACGCAGGAGCGTTTTATATAAGAAATAGGCTGGGTTGTTGAGGCACCTCTCAGAAAATAGTAATATTTTCTTTGCTACATAAATAATGTTTATTTTCATTAATAATTAAATATATATATATTATGTATTAATAAAAATAAACATTATTTATGTAGTGAAGAAAATGTTACGATTTCCTGAGAGATGCCTAAACAATCCAGCCTATTTCTAATATAAAACGCTCCTGAACCAGAGCTATCGGCGGCTCGGCCGCCAGCGGCCGGGCGGTAGTGGAGGAACAGGAGGCGTCGTCTCTTGAATCGGCCCGAAATGTGCAACCAATTCCGAGCGCTGGTATAAATGGATCTAGATAACAAAATTACAACAATTATGCACAATTGATATGATACATGAAGCGCAATTCGTCTCATTACCGTTTATATGGTATCCCTGTGAGTAACACGTAGTAGATCTCGATAATTCGATTTGTTCAGACGGTTCGACATTATGCGCAACAGAAAAATACATTACCCTTTTCATTTCATCTCAATTAACAAACTGAAACTATCAAAAAGAATAAACAAATCTTACAAAGACTCGAAGATTTTTTAAATAAAAAAAATGTGTGCTACAAACCGTTTTTTTTTTATTTGTTTTGCTTTCTAAGACTATTAAAATTATTTCCAATAGTCATTATGATTCCATCATTAATCAAAAGTCTTACATTTATTTTTGTCGACTACTAACTATAAAACTATTACAATCACTTTTTATCAATTTTATTATTAGTTCTTAAATACTACAATTCTATGAAGCTATTCAGCTTTTTCTTTTGCCATAATTTTTTTTCTTATAGTTTATCATTTACATATTTTACTATTATTTATAAAAATATATATTATATTATTGATTATAATTTATTTTATTCATATGTACACACGGAGACAGGAACGCCTTCTCACATGAAGTTACACGCGTCTTGTCGGACATGTCAGGCATGCCACATGCGTGCTTCACCTCTCAATATTCGTGCATTATAACTGTAGATATTCGAAAAACGGATACGTTAAACTATGTATTATCAATTACATTTTCCCGCTCTGAGACGGCGTTGCCGTTTTTCGAATATCTACAGTTATAATGCACGAATATTAAGAGGTGAAGCACGTCCGGTATGCTTGACATGTTTGACGAGACGCGTGTAACTTCATGTGAGAAGGCATTCCTGTCCCCGTGTACATAACATAAGAGGACAATATTTTTTTTATTTACATAAGTCTTCCTTTGTTTTTAGAATAAAAAAAGCAATAATACCGTCTCTTGTACAATACTCATATAGTGACTCATCATCTCCAAAAATATTTAAAGCTTATTTCGACGTTTAACTGAGCAAAATTAAACCTTCACCACTTGTCCAGACGCAAGAATCATAATTGAAAATTGGCTGAGATGAAATTCACATACATAGATAAAACTGACATTGTTGCAGAGTGCGATAATTGATGGCGCAGATGGGAGCAGATGCAGCGTAAGGGGTACGCGGCGCGGCCTGTTGCATCAGCGACGAATGGTACCTGGGTGCAACTGCGGCATTCCCGTAGATGGTCGCCACACTTTTCTAGAATTGCGGCGCACCGCAACATCCAGCAGTAGCTACGACAGCTACTGCAGCCGCCACAGCCCGCATCGACATTGCTACATGCTGAGAAGTATCCGCGATGTGCCGCACATCCGAGCCAATCCGCCGGAGAACGACGTCAGAAAAAATCAGCAGCAAAAACAAAACAATAAAAAGAACAACGAATTGTAGATCGATCTACATACTCTTGGTTAAACACCTTATAAATCATGATCGAGCTACCTTGATACACTGAAACATTATTATTTATTGAATTATTTGCTAGATTTTGATGTATGACGATTCAATATGTTTGCATTGTGTCATTTATTCGAACTCTATTTGTTACAGCTATGACGGAATATATAGAATTAAACGTGAGAAATAAATCGCCTACAAAAATGCAATCACTTTTGCAAATTGAAATACGGTTTTCTTCAAATAAGGTCGTTTTGTGACACAAATAGTAATCTTAATATCAGGAAACTTTAAACTTTTGCAGAGAAAAAAATTTTTATTTATTCTATTATTTTAGTTATGGAAGAGGCGGACTGCCCGGAACACTAATCGAACATGTATTGTTAATTATTATTAATGAAAGAATGAAACAAAAATGGATTAAAATTAAAACGTACTTATTTTTATCTTTAAAAAATTAACAATAAATACAAAGATATTAAAATATTATAGTTTGAAAAAATGGTATAACATAACAAATAAAGATAATAATTTTTAAATGACAGGTAATTCTGGGCAGGTATAATTTCATCATTAGCAAATCTGTTTTTACCGTTATGGTAAGTTGATGCTGGATTTACAAATACACAATTCTCATGGGCCTAATCTTTACATATATTACATTGGATTCAAATTTCTTCAAACATTTTACCACACATTATGCATTCAGTTTTATTGTTGCAATTTTAATTAAAATTAATATATAATATCTTTCATAGAATATTTCAGTAAATAATAATACACCGCTACATTAATTGTGAGTATTATCTTATAAAATACTTGGTATTAATAAAAAAAAATTGTGGGCGGCTTATAATATGTTAAAGATATATACGGGTTTTAATCTGTTATTGACACAGAAGAAGGCCTGATTATATAGGCGGAAATATTTATTTATTTCTTTTTAATACATGTTTGCACGAACAAGTAGCATTATCTCTTTTGCTCCTTACATTTAAATTTTAATATTTCTCATCGGAGTCTTTTAATAAAATTTAATAAAATTAAATAAAAATAATTTTAATTAAAAAAAAATTGTTTGCGAGTACTCGCACATACATATATTGGGTGAATGCAAAAGTTTTGATGGGTTTTGTTGTAGAAAAATTGATTAAATAATTTTAATGCGATCAATCTATTAATTTTTAATTTTTCAGCAACTATGTGTGAAACCCGAGGATTAGTGTCCATTAAATTGCGTATAATGTCGTCATCGACCGAAGCGCGGCTGATCTTCGAGATTAAAATCTCCCCATTTAAATTTTGCGAACAATTTTTCGCAGGTTGTTTTTTACGGCATTTGAAATGCCTGTTCCTCTCCGAAATTCGTACATCATGATTACACGTAAATAAACTCTATCAATGCTCACACATTTTCAATTTGAAAACAATGAAACTAACTAAAATCAAATAAATTCTTGTTTAACTTGAGAGCTGAAAGCGTAATCTTTCCAACAATATGAACATATCAATATATTTATATTAGTGTTACCATAAAACTGCATCAAGTCTGACATCTATCACGAAATCCATCAAAACTTTTGCACTCACCCAATACATTGAATCGTCACATGTTAAAATATTTAACAAATGATTTCTACGGTATAATATTTAATATTTCTCAAAGTATCTAATTGTTTATGACATCTCGCGAATAAAATATTATTTTACGACTATATAAATAATTTTTATTCGCAATATTTCTATATAAACAAACACTTTGAAAAGAGGGAGGGAAGATATGATGAAAAACATTTATTATTACGGCACATTAGCTGAGTCTCAGCATGTCCCAGTTGTTCCGTCAAGGATCCTAATATCACTGTCAGGAAGTATTGGCTTTTATGATTTTATTATGTTGCTAGATATAAAAGTGTAAATAAATAAAAAATAAATAAATGACACAATACAAAACAAGATCTCGATAAATGCAAAGTTCCTCAGATTTAAGATTACTGTTTGACGGAACAATGTTACAATGCTAAATAAATACTCGAAAAAGATTTAATTTGCAAAAATGTATCATTCTTTATAGATGATCTATCCTTTAAGAAATTTCTATATGTTCCAATGCTCATAACTGCGAAGACAATTGAGTTAAACGTCACGTGAACGAAAAATGCGTTCCACTAATTGTTTGTTGAAATTCGATTAGTGAAAGTGGCTGCGATATATTTGGACCCTATTATTAGTCAGAATGCGATGGAACCAAACAAAGTAAAAAATTAATCGATTTCTTGCAGATTGTTAATATTCCGAAATAGGAATCAACGAAATATTCACACAAAACTGATTTAGCTGAACACAATTGATAAAACCAAACGTCATTATACGTATATTATACAAAATCAACCCGCGACATTTTATCTTGAGAGCTTAAGAACTGCTTTTATATATGCGGTAAGTAAAAAATTTCAATTTTTGTTAATTTTAACAGTTCAGTTTACAAGATATACATCTAAAATGCATTTTTCTACTAACAAGTCAAATATTTATCTACGCTTGACTGAGCATAAATTTTTTTTTCAGATTCGTCTACGATATTCATATTACATTTGTGTTGTGTGCGTGCGTGTGTTTGTAATGTTTAATAGTATTTTCGGACGTTATTACAAATATTATTGCTGTTATTACTCTTGACATCACTAGCGTATCTATATATACATTTACACCTATATGTACATACGTACGATATTTGTCATCATTAGTGATATTTCAATTAGCTATAACTCATTAATATTTATCAAAAACGAATTGGAATGATGCAAAAATAAGAGCAAAAAATAAACAATATTAGCAACTCTCAGTAAATCGATTTTCTAAACGTATCGATTGCAAAGTCTCGCACGTGAATCTTAACCCATTAAGTCCCGAACGGACGTTTTTCCGTGGCTTTTTTCAGCGGCTGTCTTTTCTACTAAACAATTTTTATAAAATATAATTTTTAATAAATACAATTAAAATACAATTTTTATAAAAATTTGTATATAGGGGGGTTTTCGGTCGCTGACATTCTTCTTTTTATTTGGAATAACTCAGCGATTTTTATTTTTTGGTCGTTGACATTCTTTTTTTTACTTGGAATAACTCAACGTTTTTTATTTTTCGGTCGCTGACATTTTTTTTTCCAAGTAAAAAGAAAAATGTCAGCGACCGGAACCCTAACAGCACATGTAGATACTGAGAACAATCTGAGAATATCGCAAAAGTATAATTGTAATATTCTCAGAACATTTTCAAATGTACTGCGATGTACGTAGTACGTTCTAGGAATCATCGTATGTCCGCGGTACCATCTTCCATAGAATTTCGCAGGAAGGTCTATAGTTTAAAGACAGTATCAAGATAGGATAAAAATGGGAATGTTGCAGTAGATCACATATACATGCACACATTTACACAGCCAAGCGCTGAAACGCGCGCGCGTTTATATATTGTATGGGATAATTTAGATTAGATTAATTAATCAGTCAATTTCTTATTAATTGATATTTTTATTTCAAAATTACGACCGTAAGCGTAAAAATATTTACATAAAACTTACAATATAAAATAAAGTTCTAGAAGTCTAAGCTAGAGAACTTCAAAGGAACAATACTGCAAACTAAAAACAGTTTTATGTTAAATCATCTTTTTAAGACATTGTTTAAAAAGTAATTAAGAAAATGTATTGTATATTTAACCAAGAACCAAAGAGGTGAGAGGCAATTATAATGCAAGTTTATGAACATAACCTTAAAATATTTTAAGCAAAATAATTTAACAAGTACATAAAAAATAATAAAAATATTACAAAAATCATATACAAACACTATCTAGC